GCTTTCTGTATGAAAGCTGCTTTTTAACAGTACAATATAATGCTTTTTAACGGGAGTCTACAAAAGAGCGACGAAACGACAACACGCCACCCGCCTTAGTTACAGTGGAACAAAAATGGCAGTTACGTCATCACGTGAAGGTGCGCATGCCTGTGTTGCAGTTTTGTTTCCGGGGCTTCAGCTGGTGCTGGTTGGCAGGCGGTTTGTGTTCACAGACGCACAGTGCTGGAGGCTAGGCTGTTGGCATTTGGCTTACCTTTCCTGCAAAATTTCCGTTTATTCTCTCGCCTCTTTTGGGATGTTTTAACATTTCCTTTCCCGGGTTTGGATATATAACTTTTGCTACCGACGCTGTCGCTTACGGTAATTGCTAGATCCTACCATTTAACTGCTCACAAGTATCACAAGTATTAATCGTGTTGTCATTGTTATTTTAACCTTTATGTAAAGCCTGCTATGATTCGTGGTTTACCAACAGCTTTTCTTTCAGCTTTTTAGAATTGTTCTATAGATTTTAATGTTTTCCAAAATCTGGCATTGGATTGCTTCTTTCTGAAACACTTTAAACGTATTTTTCTACTCCTATAGGTTAGTTGGCATCATCATTAAACTAACCTTTAGCTTGCATTGTGGCTGTACTTAATTGTTGGCTGAGGAAAATGTGTCGTTCACCCTAGTTATTCTAACTGGAGGTTATTGTCTAGCATCAGTATCCATTAGTGCTGTATTAAGCAAGTCTGGATTTGTAGAACATGACGGTAATTCTTTCCTTGTTGTGTCAGTTAAGTATTGTATTGTAGATTAGTTTCATTGTATAAGACAACGTTGCTTACACCTGCCTCCTGTTTCAGTCTGTAGTTTTTTTTCCTGGTTTTTGGTATACCTGGAGTACATATGATAATTGAAACCTTATTGGTTTCTACGTGTTTAAAATTGATTGGATTTCCTGCGTTTAGCTCACTTTTTTATACCTAGGCAAATAAAGTTTTTTTTTATTTTCTTTTGAAATAAGTCAAGAGTGAAGTGGGTTCAACCGGCTTCCTTTTCTCTTTTTTTCCAGAAAATGTTCACATATATCTGGCAGTACCTGTACACAGCTTTCTTTAGGTTTTGGCTGAAGTGGTTTATAAGACAAGTAACAGGGAAATGTGAACTGCAGCGCATTTGTCAAGGATATAATCCCGGAGCAACCAGAACTATGAAGACAGGTAATAAGGAACGCCTTTAAAAAGCTGAAGTAGGTAAAAAACACTACACACAATGCCATGACATCTCTTACATTCATCTCTCAGATTTTTGTCTCCTCTGTAACCATCACCTCCTCAATATTTTCCGTCTTTAAATTATTGTGTTTGCGTGACACCAATGTTGAAAAGTGACCAGAAGAAACTGACATTGTTTATCCCGCAAGCTCAGTGAGTCTGTGATGTTATTTTGTCAAGCTAGAAATTATGAAAAGAGATTCACAGAGATTCAGAAAAGCTCCTTTAGTGGTTTCACAAAAGCTGATAAACTAAAGAACTTGTTGGTTGCATATATATCCACAGGTGCTTGCTTTGTGACCACAAGTTGTACAGCATTATGACAACAGAATTATTTGTGCAACAAGAAAGTTGTGGATTCAAGATGTTTTTAGTCCAACTCCAAGAAAAGTCCAGTTGCTGAAGAACTAGTGGTTTAAGAAAAAAATTAAAATATCCACTCCTTGAGATTAAGAATGGAGTTTTTCAATATAAAGTTATAGTGTATACTACAGTATATATTGTGTGCATGTTATATATTATAGTATAGCAGTTTATGGCTGTTTTTTAAATGTAACCTTCTGTTTTGCTTTGCGTTTGATGATAATTCTGGTTTGTTGTAGTTTATTTCCTTTAAAAGTTGTATAATTCTTCCCTTTTCTTGTGTTTGTCTTTACAGAATATTCCTTGAAATCCTCAAAAAGCCAGGTATGAAAAGCACTTTCATCGAAAGAGATCTCATGATTAGGAGCATAAGGAAAAGAATTCTATAAAGAAACAAGAATGATTTAGTTGAATTAAATAAATATTTAGTGTGCACTGATTATTAATTATTCAAAAGTTGTAACAAAGTGAATAGATAAATGACCTATCTCAATAAGAATACATACAATGAAATTACCAAAGTAAAAAGTTTTGTTTTACCTTATGCATTACAGGGAAGCATTGTTAATTTAATTAGTCAAGTTTTTTGCAGTGAAGTGTGAGGTGACATTTAGTGTCTTGCAAGTTATTCAAACCACAAAACAAAAGAAACTAACATCAAATGTTAGTGAGTCCAAAAAATACAAATAAAAAACTATTATTTTAAAAGTATTAATTTTCCAAACTCCTTTGGAACACATGTGAGAGTAAATATTTATGTTATAATAATTTCTGCTTTCTTTGTATCAGATTTTAAGAAATGCAGTGAATGTTGAAGAAGATGAGGTGGAGATATGTGTCACCAGAATAATAAAGGAAAAGAATATTCATGAACAGAAGGATCCAAAGTAAGTCCGGATATTCCACCTGATGTGTCATCCTGTTAGTTGTATGTTTTATAGGCTAGGATTGGAAAACTAAATGGGACCATTTGCTTTCCGATAACCATCTAAAATGGTTATCATTAAGGTCATACAGGTTTCCCTCGCCAGCTGTTGGGCTTACGTTCTTGAAGAGTATTAACTGGCTGGTACAGTGTGTTCTTGAGTATAAACATGGGATGTTAGGGTTTCACATGCTGTGGAACAGGTAACATGTCTTTCAGGTTTCTCCCTTAAAAATTAAAAATACAATAACATGAATTATAATTAAACATGTGGATGTAGTAACATATAACTAAGAGTGAAATGGAATGTTATTTACATTGAATCCTAAGACTTAGAAATAACAAAAGAATTGAATATGCTTAGTGCACTGAAATCTGGTCATTCACACACTAAGTTGAAAACTCCACAGCTGAACGCCCAGCTGGGTAGAGAGGAACATTGTGAGAGTGAATCCACCCAACCATAGTCTAATGGTGTCCACAGTGAGGGCTGGATTCAGCTCACTACGAGTATGGAGATGAAATATGAAGAAACTGTTTAGAACAGGGATAACCAATCCTTGCCTAAAGTGATCAAAAAGCAGCGGTCTGGAAACCATATGCATTATGATGAGTTAAGTGATTAAGTGATCCAGTTAGGTCTTTCAAACTCATATTTTCTCACAGATGCTTAGTATGAGGTTTGTGTTCATTTCTAAGCCTGCATAAAATAAGTATTTCATGTGTGTACAGTACATTCATTTACTTTCTTAGCAGTGGACAGAATATTAAAATGTTTCAGCTTGTGGCCAGTTATTCTCCTGATCCAAGGAATCAGTCACACTGGTTATCTTTAACATCCTCTTTGCTTATTTTCCCTCCAGACAGCATGCAGTTTTCCATCCTCATCTCATTGTGTGTGCAGTTATCATGAAAGGGAATTGTGAGGTGCTAACAGTGATTTCTGTAATCACACTAAATCCCACAGACGTTATGGTTCTTAGATGTCAGCAGGCAATATTTTCAGTGTGAAGAATTTTCTGAAGTCTTGGAATTTCAGCTTTAAAGCCTGAAATGAAAATGTATAATTATTCTTATTTTGTTTTATTTTCTCTCAAGGTTTAAGATAAACCTTCAAGTGTGTTTACTTCAAATATCTGGTTACCAGAGACTCTGCGTAGCTGTGGAGGACCTCCGGAAACAGGCTTTTGATTCTGCAGTGAATGAGCATGAAAACATGCTTTTGAAGGTATAGTCAAGTGTTGTCCTTGTGTAATTTCTACAACAGGCACACATATTAAACACATATTCAATATTCTTCAGTCAGGTAAAACTTAAAATTCTTACACTGTGTCTTTAGTTTTTTATCCTGTTTGTGAACAATATTACCCAAAGTCAATTTATTAAGAAAAATACATAATAAGCGTATACATATTTCTTTATGGCATTGATTAAGATCATGATTAAGGCTACAAACAGGAGGCTGTATTTGGCTTGTTTGGTTGCTAGTAGCTAATTGATCACATGATCTCATCCGTTTGTTTTTGTAGGAAGTCAGTGTATCTTGACAGCATGGCTGGTTACTGTAGATTGTTCCAGAGAAAGTGGGGAAAACAATACCGTCTTTACCGACTTACCGTTATAAGTTTTAAATGTACCTGTCCTTAGTTCTACTTTGACAAGTGTCATATTTCTGTATTAAATCAATACCATTTATGTAAAACAAAATAAGTCTGTATTACTGTATTATATTGTTACATTATGAAAAGG